GGAATAAAATAAAATAAATTTTAATCAACACAAATATTAAATTAAGAGGCCTATCATATCATTTGGTAAAACCAAACTTTGTATCTTTGGGATGAAAAAATTCATTTTCAAATGGCAGAATAATTGGTGACATTCATTGAAAATATTAAGATGTATTTTATAACAACACGAACGTCAGAGGTAAGGAGAAAATTTATGGAATTATAATGAATGAAGATAAAATGATAATAAAATCTTACCAAAATATATAAATAACAATTAAGTTTCTTGAAATGTCATAATTTCTCTAAAATTTGTAGGCATCTTTCCACTATTAATTATTTTAGGTTAAATAACTAAATTATCCTTTGTTTAAAATAAAAATAATGGGTATGGATCTATTTTTTCAATTATAACTTTTTGTTTAAGTAATTATAGTTTTATTCTGTAAATTATAAAAATTGAATAAAAAATTACAACTTTTCACATGAAATTTCTTTTATAATTGATAAACAAAGTTTAAAAAAAAAGTTCTAGTCACACTTTTTGTTTAAGCAATCACAACTTTTATATAGAGCCACTTTGTTCCCTTAAAATTTTAGCTATACTAATATAAACAATCTTTATATCGAAACTGTGACCTTATTCCTTTAAAACTTCTCTTATATTATTATAATGACCTTTGTTCCTTTAAACTTCACTGTTCCAATAGAAACATTCTCATTTGGGTACAAATGCCTTTGTTTAGGAATAATCATCTTGTATGGGTATAGCATGCCAATTTGGGTACATGTATCTCTCATTAGGGTACAAGCTCCATTTATTCTCATACAGTACATCTTCAACCACCGTCTTTTATGAAAAGCTATTCCAATACAATTCATTTATACCCATACACTACCTTAGCACTTCTTCCCAGAATATTCTTGCTTATAATGGTATAGTGAATGTTCATACTGGCAGAAACATGAAGAAATGTGCTCTATTTCTTGTTTCAAAGTCTTGTGGGTTTCTGTTCTCATTTATTACTCAAACTCTTTATATTCTAAATGTTGTACCAACATTTTTACCTATCTAGAAGCTTTTTAAATGCAACCTCGAGTAGATTAACTACTCATAAATTCTTACACTATCATTTATATTCATATAATATTTAGCTCTACCGGTATTAGCTTACCTAATTTTTGTCAGAACATTAAATGCATATAGTTGTTATTTTTCTTATTTGATGCGAGCATGCAACTCTGCTGAAGAGCAATATGTCATTGCCTTATTTTCAAAGAAACTAAAAAGAAAAGAAGATGGAGAGTTTAATGGCTAATTAAACATGTCTAACAGATCATTAATCGACTCTAACCAAATTAGGCACATTTATGTGAAAGTTCGCCCAAGAGAGGGTGAATTAGCTTTTTAAAATTTGGCTAATAATTAAAATTAAAGAGATGAGATTAGAACGATATCACCAATCACAAGAGTAAAGAAAAGAAACTTGCACACATGTTTATCCTGATTCAGCTCCAATCACTTGACCTAAGTCTAATCTTTAAGTACCACTTGAGATTTTTTTTTTCACTAACTCCACCAAGATTAATTTAGGCTCTTTGTAGCCTCAGTACATCTCAGATTCACACTAGAGTCTGAATTACTACCCCTAACAAAAGTAATGATATAACCCTTCTTAAATTTCTCGAGTTTAAGATCATCTATTTCAAGATAGAAAAATAAAGATGAATAAAGTAAGTTCAAGAATGAACTACTACTGGCAAGTACTCTCTTTAAGAGTTGATATACAATCAATAAAAACTCTTCATAATAAATGTAAACTCATAAAGTTGGTAAACAATAAATGAGAACAACTCACATTTGTTCGTGTGCATTCTTGTTTGCTGTTGTCATAAATGCTTCAATTTATAGTTGACCTTCACAAATGATCCATTAGACTTATGAATATAACTATTAAAGTCATCTTCTTCTCTCTTTGAGTTTTCTCCAAAACGAGGCAATGTAACAGTGCTCTAAGGTGGAGCTTTCCCTTTCACAGCAAGTAAGGAAAGTAACATTTCTTTGCATTAAATGTTTTAATAAGGTAAATGAGAAACTATTTTTAAATAATAAAGTTATTTAGGAATAAAATTTTTTTGAATAAGATTGAAGAAAGCTTAATCTAACTTAAGGTTGTCTTTAGAATGATTTTAGGCTGATTAAGTAACTAACTCAACACTTAAATAGTGAAAGGAAAGGAATTAGAGAAGTTTTCGAATAACCCTTATTTTGGATGTGAGAAACAGAGCATGTAGCATTGGGTTTATTTCAAAATAGATGTGATTATTTCAAAAAAACATTGAAGAACACAATAACAAGAAGCAGGCGAAGCTTATTTCAAAGTATAACACTTATATTGAAAGAAAATTATGTAAACGTTGATTTGAAAATTCTTTATTTAAAAATAAGAGAAGCTATTCCCAAACAAAATATTCCTGAATAAACTATTCCTTAATATGATGTTACGAGAAACAAAATGTGAACAACTTAAAGGAAAAGATGCATTATTCCAAAACAAGGCAAGCTATTGCCAAATAAATTATTTTTGAATAGGCAATGAAAGGATACTTGAGAATAGAGACAACATAAAGGAATAAGCTATTCTGGAATAGGGATGCTTATTCCAAAATAAGGACCAATTTCTTTGAAAGTGACAAAAGTTTTCAGAATTTGAATTTTGATTTTAAATTTACTTGAGATACCTTTCAAGCAATACAAAAGGTTCTTAATGAATTAAAATTAAATCAAATATTTAATTTTAAAAGAAAAATAATTTAAGAAAGAATACGAGAGGTGTTTAAATATTTCTTGACTATTTGAAAATAAGGCACTTAATTGGAATAATAGTGCCTATTTGGGAATAAGGCCGTGAGCCAAAATTTTAAAGCAATGAACACAAATTTCCTTACAAGCCATTAATATATATTTATTAAATATGTAAAACACAAACTTCTCTCATTTTATTATTATCAAAACGAGGGTTCAATATTATGAAGACAGACATAGAAGAGTTATTATGTGATCTTAAGCATTCAATTTCTTACCAAACTTTTATAATGATATTCATTATTTATGAGCTTCATTGATTGTATATTCACCTTAAAGAGAGTTTGTAACAAGAATTGTTCGTTCTTAAACAGACTCTATTTTTTCCTATTTTTTATATTGGAAACAAAGGACTTAAGCTCAAAGAGATTAAATGGGTTATTACATTACATTTATAGGGGAAGTAATACAGAGTTACAAACTTAGACTTTGGGATTGTATTGAAGCAATCAAGAACCTAGATTAACTTTGGTAGAGTAAGTTGAAAAATCCCAAGCATGACTTGAAAATTGGACATAGATTTGAATGGTTGAAGCTAAAGTGAAGTAAACATTTGTGCAAAGCTTCTCTTCCTTACTCTCCATTCTTTACTAATATTGTTCTTTATCTTCTCTCTTTTATTATGCAAAACTTGTTAAGTTTTTGTTTAGTCCAATTCACCCCTTCTTGAGCACATTTACAACTTCATCAATAATTTACAAACATTATTTAATCTTTTTATAACTATAACTTCATATATCTAACATTTAAACTGATCGTGCGTTATAAATTTAATACTAATTGTATACAACTACCTCATAAATAATTTACAACTATCATTTCAAAATTTTATAATTATAATTTCATACATTTAATAGTAAATTGATCATGTGTTATTAACAAAGTTTAACACTAATTATTTACAATTACCTCATCAGTAATTTACAATTATTACTTTAACATTTTACAATTATAACTATACATGTTTAATAGTTAAATCGATTGTGCATTATTAATAAAGTTTAACACTAATTATTTACAACTATTTTAGTAATAATTTACAACTATTTTATTAATAATTTATAACTATTACTTCAACTTTTTACAATTGTAACTTCATATATTCAATAAGTAAACTGATCATGCATTATAAATTTAATACTAATTGTATATAACTACCGCATGAGTAATTTATAACTATCATTTCAATATTTTATCACTATAACTTTACATATATAATAGTTAAAGCGATCATGTATTACTAACAAGTTTAACGCACAGTATTTATAAATATCTCATCAGTAATTTACAACTGTCAGATTTAGTAGTTAAATTGATTATGCATTTTTAGTAAATAGTAATTATAGGATCACTCAAACCAATTTTGTTCTCCATAATTTTTTCCCCATAAATAAACTTGGTCTTTTCTTTTCTTAACAAAAAAAAAATTGTATCTAGCATATCAAATATTCAAACTTTTTTGTAAATTGTTAAATCTCCTTTTCACTATCTTGCACTTAGCGACTTTGATCGTAAAGAAGTTTGAATATTAAATAATGAAAACTAAAACCTAAATTAATGAAAATTTAAACTGAATAATAAAATCTTCCTTGTTGATTTAGATAAGGCATTTAGTGTGCAAAGCAAGTATAAACAAGGTAGAGAGAGCTTCGATCACAAACAATTTTGTAGTCTTCAATTCATGAGGAAGAACAAAGCAGAGAGAGCATCGATCACAAGAACACAGCAAAGTGATCGGGAATGTGAACAAAGCGAGCATGAACAAATAGATAATGCACAAGGTTTAGTTAAGGGAGAGGAGCATCTTTATCATTGTAACTTAATAAGTAGAGGCTTTAATATTTTTGTACCATAATTTTAAATTATACTCAACTTTTATTGTGGTTTTTAAATTTTGCTGGGCTCATTTATAAATAAATTTGCTTTATGAGACCTCTGTATAATTTTTTTTATTTTTTTTCCTCTCCTACCAAGACTAATATGAAGTCAAATATGGCAAATCTAACAAAAGAAAGAGAGACTAGGTAAAAAGAAAGAGAGTCTTTTTCAACTGTTTTAAAGGCCTTTAAGTATTTTTCTTTTAAAAACATTAAAAAGTCATGATTTTAAATTCATAATTAATTTTTATATATGATAGAAGTATTTGGACATACTTATATGAAACCATGGTTTTGACTTCTAAAATTAATTACGAAGCATCCAAACAGGCAATTCAATATCTTTTTTCTTTCAAGCACAAAACTCAAAAGACAGCCTAATGCCTACAATACTTCAGAAATTCACAACGTCTATATAATAGACAGACATTCATGTCCAATGTAGAACACCCAATTTTTATACACACCAGACAAACACTCACCTTTTAAGTTCCCAGAGAACAAAGGAAACCAAAAATCCATTCAACAAACATTTAACTGACATTAAATTCTCCACTAGCCTGTGCCTCCTTGACGCTCTTTTCATATTCATCTTCTTCCTCCACCTCCTCAGCAGCAGCAACTCCATCTTTTGTTTCATTTTCTTCTTCCTCTTCTCCTCCCCAGCCAAATCCACTGACTGACCTCGAAACTTGGGCCAGAGTTTTAGCCTCCTCAACAATTTTCATAATGTCTTCTACGCTCTGAAGAGAAAAGGTTGGGTTTCCTTTCCTGTAGTAAACAGCTTGAGCCACTTCCGTCAATTCCCTTGGTAAGTTCTTTAAAAACCATGGGTGGGACTTGATCTCCTTGATGGTAATTCTCTGTGATACAATCATCATATAGAGTCACCACATACTATTTGCAAGATTATGACTGTAATTCATTATCCTTGAAAAATACATGCTCCATGAACCTAGCCTTTAGAAGAAAAGCATCAGCATTTGACCAATTCATTTTTATAAAAACCCATCAACATTGATCCTGCTGGTAATTAAAAAGACTCAATCATATTGATGAATTTTAAAAACTTTGGAATCAAATAACAGGAATTATCTACAAAAGGTTAAATTGATGGATCAGACACATCATCATTCAAGGACCCAACACGGAAAAGAGCAAAGAGAACCCTAAGCATCTATGCTTATGAACTTGTCAGAGTACAATTAGAGTGTTTATAGTGGCATAGCTGGATATTTTCGACATGTTTTATCAAAAAATAAATAATTAAAATAAAAACTTAGTGTTAAGCAACATGTCATATAGTACCCTTGCTGGATTTGCCACGAAAATGCGAGACAGCAGGTGTCTACACTCCTGAGATATGTGAACATAGTCCGGAATCTTGTATTGAACAGACATGATTCGCTGGATAAAAATGCAGGAAGTCAGAAAGGGGAAGCGTTTTATCAATTTATCAACTGATGTGGTAAAAAGAGAAGGAAAAGATTACGCTTATGGTTTTCCTGAAGTTTCTAGGATCCTCTTGGTCTTCAAATGGGTATGCTCCCACTAGCATTACATAAAGAGTTACTCCACAAGACCATACATCTGCCAACTGAATAAACACATAAAAGAATAAAATAACAAAAAACAAACATCATTAGTACCCAACAATGTCATTGATTTGGTTTAGAGTGACATGACAAATATCCAAAAAGTTCAGCTACATTTTGAAGAATCAGAAAATGTAAGACAACAAAAGGGATCTTTGTGAAGTGTTCATGCTGCACAGTCATTGAAACATCAGTTTCATATGTCCAACCTGATTGCCAAGTATATAACTAACATAGCTCTTCCCAGTTATTAAATATAAAATGAAGTTTCAGAGCTTACATGTGAAACAGGTAAAAGTCAAAGTGCTTTCCACATCTCAAGGCATTAACACGAAGGAGATCACATGCTACTGCAGTTCATAGCTGGTAACTAAAATGCTTTTTTGCTACAGGGAAATTCTTAACAAAATTTGAGTTCTTTTTATCACTCGTGCTTAGTCTAACAGTTCTATATTCACAGGCTGCAAAGGATGGAGAGAAACATAAAACTGAGGTAAATAAAGACGAGCCCATGTTAAACTCGGAGAAACAAGAAACATCAAAATCCATGCATAAGAAAGTTCCTGACTGTCAAAAAGTGAGTCAATTTTGGGAGGAAGGACTTCAGAGGAGTAACAATTTATAGTACTTCAAATGCAGCATGTGTTGCATGTACGTGTTTAATGAACCATGCATCACAATCTAAAACTTTTCGCATGGTTGAAGCTAGATTACCTTTCCATCATATTCTCTACGTGAAAGAACCTCTGGTGCAATGTAGGCTGGAGTTCCAACAGTCGATTTAGGTCTTGAATGAAGCAGAGAAGACTGAGAGAAGAAAGCTTACAAAAAGTGTCAAATATACCAGCAACTAATTATCTAAAACAATTAAAACTGATAATGATAATAATCATATTAATCCACATTCGAACCTTAGAATAACCAAAATCACAAATTTTCAGACGCGGAGCTGGGCTGCCATCCAATAAGGTGTTCTCTAGTTTCAAGTCTCGATGGCAAATTTGCTGCAGAGCAAGGAAAATTACAAAGAAAATGACACAAGAGAAGAGGAAAGGAAGCATATTTAATTATTTATAAACACATTCTAAATGGCACAGTCCATTATCAGGAAAAATGTTCAGTTACCATGGAATGACAGTAGTTAACTCCTGAGATGAGCTGCTGGAAGAAGTACCTTGCCTGGAATATAACAAGAACGATAAATTAAAATTCCTTCCTACATCAGGTTGCTCAAAAAGTGGGCACAAATAGATAGGAAGCAACTTTCTCCCTTTAACAAGTTGTCAAAAAAAAAAAAAAAAAAAACAGGGACGGCTCCCTGCAAGGTTAAAGAACTAATGGAGCCTCAGCACTCAATTTCATAACTTAAGTTACTTGAGAGTATATTTCTCTAAGAGAACTTATCAGCATCCTGTCCTCCACCTCAACATTCAAAATAAATCAAGTTACTTGAAAGCATATTTCTTTAAGAGAACTTATTAGTTTTATGTCCTCTTAAATAATGTTCTAAGTTAAGTTGGATGTTCAATTGATTAAATTATCTCCACTAAGTCAACGAGGGACAAAGTATGATTTTATAAAGTAGAAAATTCTGCTAGGTGTCTAACAAGCTGGAAATTATGGCAGCTTTGGATCCAGTCAAATCTAGAAGATATTTACTTGTGAGGTGTCAGAGTCCAACTAACAATTCCAATTTTGTTGCTAAAAAAATCCCACTTTTTTCTGCTTTTGGTATTTCAGTCAAGTTGTGTCCAGGCCAGCTTACGCACACCTTTGTAGTCTGGCAAAAGCATGCAATCCACACTAGAACAACAACAACAACAAGCCTTTATCCCACTAGGTGGGGTCGGCTACATGGATTGCAAGACGCCATTGTGCTCTATCATTTATTAAGCTTTTAGAAATATTATTAATTAAGAGATCACGTTCAACAACTTCCAAGAGTGTTCTCTTAGGCCTTCCTCTACCTCTCTTAATTGGACTCAAAGTTATATGTTCCACTCTTCTCACTGGTGCCTCCCTTGGTCTTCTTTGTACATGCCCAAACCATCTCAACCGATTTTCTACCATTTTTTCCTCAATAGGTGCCACCCTCACTTTTTCACGTATGTGCTCATTTCGAATTTTATCTTTACGTGTATGTCCGCACATCCATCGTAACATTCTCATCTCTGCTACTCCAACTTTATGCTCTTGCTGTCCCGTTAGAGCCCAGCATTCACTACTATATAACATTGCCGGTCTGATAGCAGTACGATAAAACTTTCCTTTAAGTTTATTAGGCACCTTACGGTCACAAATAACTCCTTTAGCTTTTCTCCAATTAAACCACCCAGCTTGAATTCTATGTGAAATATCTCCACTGATTTCGCCATCATTTTGAATAATGGCTCCCAAATATCTAAACTTTTCCACTTGAGGTATAATTTGATCTCCCAATCCACACTAGAACAGTAGAACTAAATAAATTTATGCGGAGCTTGCACAATGTTGTGTACGCCCTTGTAGCTCATACCATCCAGGCCCAAGAAAAGATCACAATGCCCATATTTATTACTATGTAACTCTTGCCTACTTCTATTTTCATTTTTCTACAGCCATGTAACATCTTAGGCGCTGCCTAACTTTGTATTATTTCCTCATTTGGCTTGAATAAATTTTCCCATCCTCTAACAAAAGAAAAAGAAAAAGAAAAGAAAAGAAAAGAAACTTATGCGGAAACTTCATGCTCCTAAGCTATAATTCACTAGAACTAAAAGATCCACAAAGAGATTCCATGTTCTAAGGTAGAATTTACATCCAATAGTGCCGCTAACCCCAGACACATTACATTCTCATCTCAACCACTAGCTTTTGCAACTTTCAAACCAAAACTACTCTCATCATAACCACGTTTTGACCAAGATCAACGGGTTTCCAAATACACATTAAACCCGTGGGATTGTACACTTTGGTAACAGCTCCGACTGTGCTGCCTAGCTAATAAGCAATTAACCATGGTTAGCGGGTTTAAGTTAGCCAAACACCCTCATGCTCTAATGAATCCAATGTCCACTGATTAAACAATTGTAAAAGCTATAACGTACGAACACCTGAGCACCATAGACTCGCTTAAAAATTAACTATAAGAATAAAGGGTAGAGAGATAACCTCATCTTCACTGAATCTTCCAGCATTGCATATTCGCTCAAAGAGCTCTCCACCTGCAGCATACTCCATGACTATTGCAAGATGTGTGGGAGTCAGTACCACCTACAAAGCTAAAATCCCATATTAGACAATACCTACTCACAAAGCAAAGTAAGATTGACTCATAAATCATAAGCACATGGGTACAGACCTCCTTGAACCGAATTATATTGGGGTGGCGAAGAGATCTGTGGTTTATAATTTCCCTGGCCACATTTGCATCAATCTGGAAAACATAGATTAAGCGTCCACAACCAATGACGTGCATATAAAATAGTGCATGCAGACAGAAAGGAAAAAGGGGAAAAAACTACACAGACAAATAGACACACAGAAATTGTTTAGGAATTGCAAGATAATAGTTGCTGAGAATAGCTTTCAGCTCAAAAATGTTATACGGAGCATGAAAGAAGTTCAGAAATTGCATGCACCTTGTGGCCTCGTTCAATGTACTTCATGGCAACGAGCTCCTTGGTCTCTTTGTTCCGCATAAGCCTGGCCACCCCGAAATTCCCAAATCCTATATCCTTCACCAGCTCGTACTTATCCATCCCTTTCTCCTCTTCCTTTCAGCCGAATCAACACGCCGAATATTACAACGTCAAATCCACGATAAACCCGCTTCCGTCGTGCCTTAGCAGTTACCAGCAAAGATCAATCGAACCCAATAAACTGAACCAAAAACTCGACTTTCAAGCACCAAAACAGGACCGGAAAACGAGAGAGGCAGAGACAGGGGTCACGCTGTGTGTGTGTGTGTGTGAGAGAGAGAGAGAGAGAGAGAGACTCTAATGGTAATGGATGCTCGAGATTAGCCGGGAAGGTTGAGATTTATGGAAGGGGTGGTGGTGGAATTTGGGAGAGTTTTGAAGGAAAGCAAAGAATTGAGCAGAAAATCAGCAGCAGAATATATCATAATTAATAAAGATACTAAATAATAATAATTGAAAAGGAACAGAAGCTGCTATAACGCTTTGGGAGTGCGCAGAGAGAGAGATAGAGAGATAGAGAGAAAGGGAGGCCGTGTCTGCGTGCAGGGAAAAGAAAACTAGCAAAGCAAGTATCTCTCTCACTGTATCTTCGGGGACAGAAGTTCCCATGATGATGACTGAAGACTGATGTAGTGATGAGAGAATTCTCTCTCTCGCTATTCTTTTTTCTCTTTTAAATAATGTGAGTGGAATCTTATCAGATGTCCAAATCACGTGAAATTTTATCTTATTATCATCATCAGAAAATAATTTCTTATAATAGATATATTATCTAAAATTTAATTGCAAGCCAAAAATGAACCTAACTGTCAGTGTGTTATAAATTTTGGCCCAAAATTTACTATTTAATATTTTTATTCCAGCCTATTTATTGGTTAAATGAATTGACGGAGGAAAACTCTTTTCAACCTTATTTTAAATTCTTAATAAAATTTGATCTAACATTTATAAAATTCATACTTTTTATATTTAAAATTTAAAAATTAAATCATCAACAATAAATTTTTTACCATATAAATTATTACTTGTGTCTCTGAATATTTTTTATATCATACAAGAACATTACATGGTCCCATAAGTTTAAATATTTTTCTGATACAAAAATAAATTATATGATAATATTAAAAATATCAATGCCTTTGATTTTTAATGTGAAATTGCTCCTGCAGATAGATGTGTCCTTCACAATTTATATATTTTGGTTTCTTACTTTATTCCATCGAATGTCACTTCCATGAACTTCGAATGTGAAATGAAAATTTTTCTATAAAATGACTCGCTATAATAAGTGCTTCCATCCCCGTTAAATTAACTAATTAAGATTATTCTTGTTTGTTACGTTAATCCAAATTTGGAGAACATTCATTGGGGAAATTTAAAATCACTAGTTATTGAAAATAACTATTATTTGACAAAAGGATATATGTTACTGTCAAAAAAATAACTATTATAATTATTTTTAAGAAAGAGACACTTGGCAGTTGATGGGAAATGGATGTGCATGCGCCGCAGATGGACATGGCAATTTGACAAAAGAGTTCTATATGATTTTAATATTCTCAGACGTAAAATAAAAAAAAAAGGGGGAGAATCCCACTTAGGGGCCAAAGCACATTAGTTTGTATTTAAAGCCTAATATAATTTAAAATTTTTTGCAAGGCCAAAAACTTCAAGTGAAAATATATTTAATAAAAAGATACATTTGTTCTTTTTTTTTACATGAATGTACAATATAATATTTATATTTTTTTAACACAATATCCTATAATATACAATTAATTTAGTAAAAATAATTTAATTTAAAATATACAAATTGTGCTAGATGAAAGAACAATAGATGTTTATGAATGCGTAATATAATATTCATAAATTTTAACACAATGTCCTGTAATGTGCAATTAGTTTAATGAAAATGGTTTAACTTGAAATGTGTAAGTTGCTCAAGATGAAAGAATAATAGAATATCTATAAATGCAAAATACAATATTTACAAATTTTCAACACAATGTTTTACAAATTGTCTAAAGGTAAATGTGTCTTTTTTTTGTTAAAATATGTTTTCAATTAATGTAGAGAATCTTCAAATTGTATTTGACTTAAAATGCAAAATTTTATGTTATTAGACACTAAGTGAGATTATCCAAAAATAATGACGAAAAGATAAATATTAAAAACAGAAAAAATAAAAAATAAAAATAAAACCTGGTAAAAGAAAGATACGGATCCCCTGCAGTGTCCTCCTCCGGTGCCCCATAATTGCACACATCTGGACCGTCAAGTTTACTCAACAGCAACTAACTTATTTTATTGTGTTCGAATTATTAATACTTGTAATATTAAAACTTTTGGAGACTAATGCTTACAAGCTGAAATTCAGATAAACAAGGGACCTGATAATGCTCGAATAGCCACTTGACATCTGACTACGCGATCAAATCCCCTAGCCTACCTCATCCTCCTTCAAGAATGGACGCTTCGTTGAATCTTCACCAAACACAACTAAATTTGTCTTAATCTTCTGCTCACTTCGTGAGAGCAGTCCTCCTTCGTAGCCCATTCCCACTCGGTGCGGGAAACTACGACGACGCGAGCATTTTTATTTATTTTTATTTTAATAATGCTCGAATTTAATATAATAGTTATGTCGAAACAAATCTAAAACTTAGGTTTGAAAAAAAAAGCCAATAATAATAAGTTTCCATCGTTCAAGCTTCTGCCCAATCTTAGCTAAAATTTAAAAGTACATAAGTCATTTCATGTATGATATGTTTGGATTTAATGAGAAATTTGGATTTGAAATTATATTTAAATCAAATTTCTTATTTAGATAGACAGAAATTTATAGACTTGAATTTGATTTAAATTTAAATCTATTTTTTATTACATTTCTTTTATAATTTTAAATTTCTCCTATATTCTAGTTATTTAAAGTTTTAATCACTTTAGATACTTTGTTTTCTTTATATTTTTATTATTGATGCTCTTATAACTTTTGCATCTCTTTTTTATCTTTTTTTAATTGAAAAATATATGTAAGATTATTGCTTTTGATTTTTGTTTTTGTTTTTGTTTTTGTTTTGAATCTCAACCCATCTTTCTTCTTTATTTAAATTTTTTAAACTACTCAAATAAAATACTTTAAATACAAGACTTTAAAATGTGATATTTAAAATGTAAGATTTTAAAACTAAAATTCAAATTCAAATACAAATTCACTAATCCAAATGCTACTTTAAAAAAGTCATAAAAAAATAACGTGTCCAGTCATTGCATGCAAGAGAGATGCATGCTTGGTACACCAAAATTATTCTTTTTAAAGGAAATGAGAGATGTACTCAAAAGAAAATATGGTAGGTGTATGTTTCATTTCCTGCCTACAGAACACTTTTATACTTATCAAATATTGCATAAATATTGGTCACCAAACAATATAGCATAAATATTGCATATGAAGTCAAGTTATTAGAAAATATTCCCTCCATTTTGATTTATAAAATATATTTAGATAAAATTGAGCATGCTGATAACATTTATTAAATATATATTATAATATTTTTTAAAAATAAATATAAAATTTTAAAAATACCCTTCTTTTAATAATTCATTTGTGAAAGAATATTAATAAAAAAGATAATATTTAAAAATATCATTAATAAAATTTTATTTTTATCAAAATATCTTATATTTTAATATGTTTAACCTCTTCCAAGGTGTTTTATAGAGTGGGATGGTATCAGTAATGAATAGTTAAATTAATCTCAAACTCCATGCACAGATGTACAGGCAGTGCTGCCCTTGGTTTAAATAATGGAACACAGTTGATTAACTTCACGATTTTTAAGGAATAATAATTAATAATTAATAATTTTTAAACTTGCAAAAAATATTTAAATTGTCAATCTTATTCCTCATCGACATTAATAAACACACTAAAATGTACATATGAATTAAAAGTTTGCCAACAATTTTATGCAATTAATAAGGAATAATGATAAAAAATAATTAACTACACTAAAATGTGTATGAGGATTACTATACACAAGTATTTGTCCTATATAATTAAAAAAAGTATTTATGTTTTCTAGTTATAAGTTATAAAAGGAGTATGAAGATAGAGCAAACACGAGTAAAGTAAGAAATAAGGTTGAGCGTGAAGGGTTAAACTTAGAGTCTCTATTTATATAAGGATTTGAATTTAAAAAATTAAAAGTTTTTTAGAAAATCGGGTTTTTAAGTTCAGCACTGATAAGTCTTGAAAAAAGAGGGTTGGGCTCAGGCAATTCTTCAAGCCTTATTTCCCAAAAGATAAATAATTTTTTAAATATTGTGTTATCAAAATAATTGATGTTGTTTCTTTTGCTATTTATTTAAACACAATATTAGCAGATTTTTTATTAATTTTTTAAATACAATTACTTTGTAAGGTCTATTTATTAGTTTTGATTAATGTTGTATTATATGATACACAAGTTTTTATATTTATCAGATTTGATAAAATTAATTTAAATTGAAAATTTTGATTTTTATTTTAAATCTTAATTAAAATTTTATATCTTTATTTATATTTATTTATTTTATTTTTTTTTAAAATAAACTTAGCTTTGAAAAAAAGATTGAGTCTTAAAAATTCATATTTTTTGGAAGACGGGCTCAAGGGCCCGCCCATCTACAGTTGTCCTATTATTGCAAGTCTAAAATAATAAATGACTAGAAATTGACGCTTTCATACACAAGCGTGATTATGCCCTCTGCCAAGTACCAATGGTCTATTGACTCCATTCATTTATTCGGAGCCACCAACCCATTTGCTTTGTGTATCTGCAATTCAATGTGCTTGCCGATTGTGAATTCATACCCTTTCCTACGCTGATTTTCATACGCGAATTGAATTATTCATTTCTGATAGCAAAAGTTGGATCATACCGCACGCAATCTACATTTTGAATTTGAATGTTAGGCAGCCATTAGTGGAAATAAAGCCACATTTTTTATTGTCATCAAAATAATTTATTCAAGAAGTTTCTTCCATTTCAAGTCAACGCACGCCTTGTTCCTTCACACACACACACACGCGCGCGCGCGCACATATTATTTTAAAATATAAGACATTTTTAATTTAATCTCACCTTTTAATAAAATAATTATTTATTTTTAAATTAATTATTTTTTTTATATTTATCTCTATTAAATATCCTATAATAAATATATAGCCATTTATTAATAGGGGTACTTTTAAAAAAAGCAATAATTACATCTTAAAAGATTAAAAATATCTTATATTTTTGAACATTTAACTCGTCAAAAAATATTTTACATTTTTAAACGGAGGGAGTATATATTTAATTAATTAAATAAATTAATTCAAAATTTATTAAAGAGGAAAACAATAATACGAAATGAAAGAGAGTATAGCATTAAAAAAAATGTACAAGAAAAACCACATGCGTTTGGATCAGTTAAAGTTATTTTATCTTAACTATGGGTCTTGAATTAATGTGTGTTTAGTTTTAGTTTGTCAAAAATCAGTTTGCTAAAAGTTTATTTGGTAAAAATTATTCTAGTGAAAGTCAGTTATTATAACAATATTTATATTTGGATAAATTTTTTTAATAGCCAGTTTTATAAA